GAGACGTAACATGGCAGTATAATAGTGTGGGGCAGCCATGGCCATTCCATGTTTCCACCCTCCCAAAAGCCCATTTGTCAGTGAGGGTTGGCCTCGGCTACCCTCTGTTCCCACCCTCCCATAGACCCATATCATTGTGTCATTGTGTTATTGTGTCATTCTGTTGTCATTCTATTATCATCCTATTATCATCCTTAAGTTCTGTCTCCATTGTTGTGTCAACCTTCCTGCTGTGGGGAGCAGTACATTCTCTGAGAATCGATTTATATTGCCATCTAAAGGTCATCCCGGTGTGGTCTAGGTCCGTTGTTCAGACGTGGGTGCTGCCTTCATCTTCTGTCTTCGGAGAGTAATCCCCTTTGCTGCTGCTCCTCAAGTGGGAAGTCCCTGCTTGGCCGGCCTTCTGCATAGAGAGKGGGGAGCGGGTCCAGCAGGGGGGGAGGGTTTGGAGAGGTCCAGGGGAGGGGGCATTCGGGGGGGGGGGGAGCAGATCCGGGTGTGTATTGGGTATTGTCAGGCCGGGAGGAGGATGAAGCTGGGCGGTTGGAATGGGAACTGAAAATGGCTTTTCGGTAAGCGTTCCCATTGTGATTCTGTCAGCATCCACTGTTTCCATCGCAGCTGGTTGTCTTGATCCAATTCGCAGAGTTTTTCTGCATTGTCCACCCAGATAGAGTGCAAGTTATCAAAAAGTTAATTCAGTTTGTTTGTATCTGATTCCTTCCACAGCATGTTTTTGAGCTTTTGCCAGGCTGCCTGTGTGTTGATGATGATTGTTTCTAGAATCGAGGCCCGAGCCTCCATATAGCCATATGTGTGCTGCCTGTGCTCGTGCGCACATCTCATTCGCCACGCAGCCATTAACATTGGTAGTCGTGTTACTGCCAACAGGTTAAGGTTGAAGGGTGTCCACCTAGCCTTTTGTGGGGGCGTTTCCCCCAACAGGATGGTCTTTAGGTCCCATGGGAGGTGGTTGCCCGTTAGATGATGCCATGCTGCATCCCACCATTGCCAGAGTTGAGCGACCATGGTGCAGTCCAGCAGGCAGTGTTCGAGTGTAGCTCGTTTCTTGGGGGAGGTCCCACTGCAGTAGGTACAACGCGGAGACAGCTCACCCTCTGGGCTTCCAAGTTTGTTCTAGACACAATCCAGTCTAGGGTAGGTAGACACCTGTGGATGATCTGCCACTACAGCGCACACAGATTAGTAGGTCGTATAGCCGAGTATGTGGCCCATCTGATTGTGTTAAGGTCTTCTGGGTTGAGGGGCAAGTATCTTGCCCACCGCAGTCTGATCGGTTCGGATATGTGTACTCGTTTCCTTGCTGTTTTGTACACATCCTTTACTGCCTTACTGCCATATCAGTTTACGGGAGTCCCCCATGTCCTATTCCAATTCTTGTCGGTCAAATGGCAGCTGGCAGAGGGGGATGGCCAGCTCATACACGAAGGGTCCTTTGTCATTGTCACTGATCACACATATTCTAACGAGTCCTGCAGCAGGTGTCCGACGGTCGAGGCCGTCGTCACGGTCCAGTTTGGACCATCTTTCCCATGGGAGGCATGGTGCGTACGCCTTAAGGCTCGCCTCTTGAGTGTTAACCGCCTCTACATTGTATAGTACCATCGGGATCGGCCAGTCCTCTGGTCGTACCACCCAGTCTCCCTGCTGTATTGTCGGGCCTCTTTTAAGTTCTCTCTCTTTTTGCGTTTGCTGCAATCCGAACTGGTGGTCCCTCTCAGATGAGCACCTGCCCTTCCAAGCCAACATGAGAATGTGCATAAGGGGTCCACTATCTAGTTAATGGCTGGTTCTTACCTAGGAGCAGCAGGACTAGATCCCAAGGAATGTGTTCGCCCATCAGAGAGTGGAAAGCTGCATCGCACCATTGCCATAGCTGGGAGAGCATGCAGCAGGCTAGCAAGCAGCACTCTAAGGTGGTTCATACTTCTGAGTCAGCTTACCACAGTAGGCACATATTGGCGATAACAAGTCCTTTCTGTTCTAATTCTGTCCTGGATACCAGCCAGTCCGGCATAGAGAGGCATCTGTGCAAAATCTGCCACTGCAAGGATCTGAGATTAGTGGGCAACCATGGCTGACATCATCAGGGATTACTGGCTGCAATTTTGTGACTGGACTTCAATCCAACCCAGAATGACACTGAGATCAGCAGCAGATTTCCCAGACCCATTCCCTCCAGACCCACTATCAATAGTGGAGGTTCTACAAGAGGACTGAGACAGGGATAGGGGAGGAGGGACAGGGAATACGACTTGGGTTCCGGTGCCCCCCAGACCCTGAAGTCCCTTCCCCCCCCATGCCCCGCTCCCCCCCCTCTCAGTCAGAGCCGAAGCGAGGCAGTGGATGTAATCATCTCTTATTCTTTTCTTAAGGGATGCTGGGAGCTGTTCCCACCACGTGCGGCTCCCCACGAATAGATCGGAGCATTTTCAACAAAAAAAAAAAAGAAAATAAAAAGAGATTAGTGGGCATGAGACGGGCATAAAAGTTCCACGTAAAGTTATTGTATGCACGGCTTCCGGCAGCGCATCCCTATGCCCCCTTTGGACAACCTCCTGTGTCACCTGCTGTTTTGGGCGGGAGGCCCTGTTGCCTGCTTTCACTGTGTATAGTCCTAGACGTGCATAGGCTGCAAACCAGGCCCCTCCGACTCCTGCGGACCACAAGGAAGCTTGGGTATCAGGATAATGGGTTCCTGTACGCAAAGTCCTCTATCCATCACTAATGGTTAATAGGTGGTGTCAAAACCCCCAAATTTTGGGCTTTCCATTAACCATCTCTCCTATCCATGTCTCCTACTACCTTGACTGTTGTCAGGCCATGCCATGCAGCCTCACAGTCTAGGTCTTCATTCCTTGTGCAATTGGAGTATCTTGCTCCTGGCAGTTGTGGGGCATATGCTTGGAGGCAGCATTGACCCTTCTCCTCCTTCGGAACCTTGTTTATTGTGAGAGGCAATGGTACGTCAGCGAACTTTATATTACCCAATCATTGGTTTTTATGTGGGCCCCATCTTGAGAGTTTAATTGCCAGCTGGTGTACTGAGGGCACCTGTCAGTCCAAATGCAGCTATAATGGTCATGCCTTCTATTCTGGGTAAGGTAGGTCAGCCAATGGTATCATCATCATCATCTTAAGAGGGACGCTGAGCCCGGTTCTCAGCAAGTCCAGTTCCGTCACTCCGGGTAGACTGTGAGGACCCCGGCCTCAATCTTCTTATTGGAAATATCAAGGGTTTGCATTAAAAAAAAAAAAAAAAAAAAAAAAAAAAGGTAAGCCAATGGTAAGGAAGACTGTACCTGCAGAGAATCTTCCTGATACACACCAATAACTGTTGCTTGATAACTTATGACCTTAAACCACCACTACCTCCGATCCTGTTTTTGCCGAACCTGAATTTCATTTGGCACCAAGTTTTGCTGAGCCTGGGTCCCATTCTTATTTCTAGACTGGTACTTCCGGCCGTTACATCCAAAAAAAAACAAAAGCAAGAAAAAAAGAAGAAGGAAAAAAAAAAAGAAAAAAACTTCCCCACACGCCGTGATAGCCATAAGATACATTCTATGAGGTACTGGTGAGACTGTGCTGCGACAGAAATGGCCACAGTCTTAGGAAACAACAAACAACACTCTCTGTGTTATAAGATGTATCAATGGGATGCTGGACCCAGTTTCCAGCAGGTGCCGCTCCCCGCCAATAGATGGAGCAGCCCGACAGATAAGCCCTCAATTCGGACGGTTCTCTTACCACCGCCTGAATTGAGGGCTTAGGGAGGGACCCCACAGCGGCGCGGTAACATTTTGGAATTCCAAAATGTGGTGCGCGGAATCCCACAGACGTGCGCGGTGGTTTCTGGAAATCGAGCGGAAGTGTTTCCACTCCCCCCGCGGCCCGTTCGTACCCCCTGCCAACCAAGAATTCCGTCGGCTACGGAATGGTAGGGGGGGGGGCACCCCTTCCGTAGCCAACGGAGAGGCAACAGAGAGGTGCGTGCATGGAGGTGGCCGTACCTGTGAGATGTCCGGTGGAGTGGTCCTGGCCAGAGGGCGGACATGCACCCGCTGTCACACAGCAAATGGAGCCGTCCCAGGCTACCCCATGGTGTCTCGCGACGGCCCCGCACGCGTTTTTTGAATTTTCGGGGCGCGGTGGACATTTTGAAATTTGAAAAGGTTGGGAGGTGAAAACAAAAACGCGAAAAATGTACGAACGGAATGCAGGGGGCTGAAACGAACACGCACTCTGTCCATGAGCCCCTCATCTGCATGAGGCATGCATGCCGACAGAACGTCGGCCATTATCATCGACGCCGATGCCATAGCCAGGACAGCAATGCAACGCACGCCATCCATCGCGCGCACTCTGGCCCGAGGTGTGCATCGACTCCAGCCGTCCGGGGTTGGAGGTAGGGCATTGACGATGATCGGCACCGGTCTTGCTGCAAGGCATTGGATTGCGGCATGTGGCCAATCCGTTTGTGGATCGCCTTCGTGGAAGGCACACCTTGCGAACCGTGCAGAAGGGGACGCGGGAAAGATTGCTCGCGTGTGTCGTCTACACCCTGTGCTGAGGACATCGGCTTGGACGGGCGCTCGATTGTTGTCAGGCATCTGCCGCTCGCATCATCCAATCTCCTATCCTCCAGTTCCTTACCGAGCCGTTATTCGTCCACGCCAGACGTCACCTACACATCCTGGGGGGCTTGTGGGAGAGTGTGGGACAGTGCGACGTCCACAGCGGCTCGCGGGCAGGGAGGGGACACAGGACAGTTTCGCCCATTGCGGGGAGGGTCGTTCGTCGTCGAGCTATAGGGGGAAGGACGTGGGACAGGGTCGATGCACAGACTGCAGTCTCCTTTGGCCATTGGCGATCACCCTTCTTCTTCTTTTGGTTGTTGTGGCCATCGCCATTCTTTTCATTGTCGTGCTGTTGCTGGTAGCGGTGGTGCTGTGGGTTGTCGTCCACCCAAGGTCTGCCGCGAAGTGAGAACAGCGAAAAATCCACCGAAAGATTGGAGCTTTCCGGAGGAGGGGGGCGAGTACGTGACATGGACAGGCGGCGTTGGTTGCAGGAGGCAGCCTTTCAAGAGCAGTATGGCGAGACAGAGCATCGAAACCGGTCGGAGGGTGTGCAGGGCTTACAACCTGCCCCTCCACCAGAACACCTGTCCATGTTAAACCAGGATGCGGACAGGTACGGAGTTCCCCCTTCGTTTCCTTTCCAAGTCGCCTCGCTGCCGCAGTGGCGAAATGATCCACCAGGCCTGCGTGAAATGCGGTGCGCGAGCCAGCTACCTTTCCAGCAGTCGGCGATGGTCGCTGCTTACGACGGACAGCAGATGCTGGGGTCCCCTCAACCCCACGCAACGTCCTCTCCTTTCAGCGGTTTCGCAGCTAGATCGGTGCCTCCTCCGGGATTCACTGCAACGTTGCTTAGGGAAGACGACGACGTGGAGTGCGGCGTCGACGGGAGAGGGGCGGGGCTTGGGGTGACCAGTGATCGCCGAGCAGATCATGAGCGGGAGCATGACAACGCTGCAAAGGGGAGATGTGGTGACGCAAGTCACGAATTTGGACGCTATGAACAATGCGGCGGGGGACATGTGCCGACTGTTGACACTTCCAATCCTTCTCGACCAGCGGCGGAGAGGAGTGGCCATGCAACGCCCACGCAGGGGCAGCGGGCAGATGCTGGCGATGTGACTGCCGCGGCGGTGCTCCAACAACCATCTCCATTTGCCCCCGCCACGGTAGCCGGGGCAGGCACAGGGACGACTGGCCGCAGACGTGGCCATCCTCCAGCCGCAACGTCCACGTCAGCACAGGCCGGAGGCTGCGCGGATGGAAGCACTGTCATGCAGAGCACGGATGCAGGAGGCGTTCGTGGCAGGGCAGGTGCGCAAGCTCCTCCCGCGCAAAAAAAAGTTAAATGGTCGCTAGAAGAGTGCTTGGCTCTTGCTAGGATCCAGCGCGAAGACGACGCTCTTATGGCGGACGCGTCGAGTGTGCACAAGCTGAAGAAACATGGGGAAAAACGGGAGTGGATCGCCCGTCGGATGAGGGATGAAGGATGGAATCGATCTGCGGAAGACTGCCGGAAGAAGTGGTTCACGTTGGGGCAGAAGTTGAAGGTGCTCGCAGACAAGGTGGGTCGGTCTGGGAAGCCAGGATACTTCGACATGACAGTAGAAGAGAGGGGGGCGGAGGGGTTGTATGCCAACTTCGATCGGAGGTTGGGGGCGGAGATGGACTGGATTCTGCAAAAGCCGTCGGGGACCTGTGACAACACGCTGAACTCGGACTCTCTCAATGCGAAGGACGGGGACAATTCGGCGAGAGGATCAAGTGACAGAGGAGGTTCGGACCGGGAGCGGTCTGATGTCAACGTCAGCGCCGGTAAGACGAGACGCACGTCGAGTGGGAGGGTCAACGATGGGGATGGGCCTTCGTCCATGTCAGGGATGAGTGTGGCACTTGCAGAATCAACGCGGGTGTACGTCGACGGGCTGGACAGGGTGGCAGCGACGATAGCAGAAGCACAGACAGCAGGGGCAACAATGGTGGCAGGGAGGCTTGGTGACATGGCCACGAAGATCGGGGCAGTGGCCACTGCCATGACAGAAGGCAACGTTGTCCTTCAGCTGCTAGTGGGTGTGATGGCGAGCCAGGGCCCAAGGGGATCCAATAGCCCTCGTGAGGCTCGGGGGGGTCGTGACAACGACCCGTCTTCCCTGTGACGGCTTTGGAGGACAGCCTGCCTTCAATGCACATCTTGAAAGGCGGTATGAGTCCGTGCAAGAGTGGGGGGCATGAGCGGAAATATTGAAGAGGGGAAAAAAAAGACAAAAAAACGAAGGAGCTATGAACGGTTACACCCGTTCGAAAGCAAAGAAGTAAAAAAAAAAAAAAAAAAAAACAATGACAAAACGAAGAAAGTACCCGTTTTTCTTCGAAAGGAGACACACGGGCAGACCAGGAAAGCGGTGTCAATTGGGATAAAGCGTGGTCATGCCTTCGCAGTACGAAAGGGACCGGGTGGGACTCCCACAGGCCACCGCGCTTCTCCATAAATACCTGCCTGCCGCTGTCGTTCAAGCACAAACACACGCGTTTGCTGCCGCACTTCTTGCTGCGAAATCGGTGATACACGCAGGCACTCTGCACGTCTGTGTGAGACTGTG